TGTTGACCATGTGAACAAATCCCCTGTACGTGGGGAATTTTCCTAACATATATTGTTGAAAAGTTGGATGTGTTTTTAAATCTTCTTTGCAGAGTCTTTCTTATCATGTGTTGCTTGTATAGACTTATAGGACTTCTAATATGGTCTATATACGTGTGTGATAAATTAGACGATGACTTTATTTTGCATGTCATACCCTGCACTACTACTGTGTAATGGATGTATTCTGTGGTTCTAATTTTATTACCTGCTTCACATGATGGATTGAACAGTCCTTTCCTCGCAATCCGACATAGCAGCCATTGCTGAAACAAATCAGAAGCATAAAACTATAGCCTCAGAAGGCCGTCCTCACAAGTCGGATGATTTTGAGCCTCCATCTTTCGGGACATTGGTCCAGTCTGCAGATAAAGTTGATCAGAGAGGTTCTGCTTCAGAAATTGAGATAGCTCAAAAGCCGAAGTCTGAAGCTCTACCGCAAGGCTGGTTCCCTTCCATAACAAACATAGCTAATGAATCAGATGGTCGAAAGAAAAATGAGGAGATTATTGCTAAAGTGACTAACTGGAGTTCTGGTAAACAACACAGCCCACTGAAAAATCTTCTGAGTGAAGCCAAGTCTCCTAACGCAAAACAAGTGCCTGCTGCAAATCATAAAGATGAGACCGCCCCGAAAGATAATGGTCGAAGAGGAACCACTGTGAATTCAACATTAGGTTCTGGAGCACCAGATAAAGAAAAGGAGTGGAATTCGTATCCGACTGAGATTAAAAAAGAGAAGAAGAAAGGAAAGCCATATTGGGTACCATTCGTATGCTGTTCATCAGTACATAGAGACTTGTAATCCTTGGTTTGCATAGTAGAGATGAAGATATACGATGAGAAATTCCAGTACACTTTGTTATATGTTACTGTCTTATCTGGTGGATTATGTGTGTTGGTGTGTGTGATATATATTCAATGTAGATATTTTTGCCCTTTTATTAGGATTTGCTGTCTGTCAATGTCAAATGAATAAACCTGTATGCATGAACAATATGATATTTCATTTCTTTCTCTCTCTGTTGGATTTATGGTAGGGCAAATTATAGGTTTCTTATCGTATAAAGTTAATTACCAGCTTTTTTTCCCCAATTTTATTTATACAAGTTACGTCTTCACTGAAACTTGAAACTTATTTTAGGTAGGACTTCTGGCCAAAATGATGAATTTATTGAAAGGAATGAAGATAGGACCAGTTTAGCCCATGATATAATAAGTTTCTCTAAGCTTAAAAAGGCTAATTATAAGTACTTATAAGTAATTAAGTAAGGTCTATAATTGTTTTTTTTTTCTTGTTTGGATAAAAAGTAGTCAATAAATCACTTATTTTAACAGAAACAATAGGACTTACTTTTAAATAAAGTCAGAGGTAATTCATCTAAGCATGTTTTGAATTAAAGATTATATATGCCTAAAATTTTTTGACCTTCGATTTATCAACAATTTTTATAACATTCTATCTGAGAAAGCTATAGCTTGACTTCATTTAATTTATATATATTTAAGCATTTATTGAATATCATTTCAAAATTGTTTGAGGTTACAAAATGGTCCTACATTAAAATGTATTTGTCATGGAGTTGTGGCTATTTATTTTTACTACAAAAAAAATCAACCTTGCTACATGTACACTATGATGTACACTATGATGTACACTTTAGTTTACATTTTGTCACGTGTCATTATCCTATTGGACAGTTTAAATTTCAAACAATTTTTTTTATCCAATTAACACTTAACAATAATGCAAATGTCAATCAAAGTGTCAAAAATTAGTGTACAAATAGCAAATTTCAAGAAAGATTGAAATGAAAGAATAATCTTCTTCCCCACCCATAAAAAAAAAATTAAATTAAATTAAATTTTTTTTTCTTGGTTATCATCGAAAATTATTTAAATGAGGTAAGAAGTGTAAAAATAGTAGGCAATAAGATTTTATAAGATTTTAATTCGTATATAATTTTCTGTGAAACGTAATGTAGCGTGTCTGGCTATATTTGCAAGTTTTTATGAGAGAAATGAGATTTATCTTTGGTGGAGTTTATCTTCAACCCTGGAGTTACTACTACAATATCCAAGGAAGTTCATATACATTTAAAAATCAAGAAAAGGTCCAAAATATCTGTAGGGTACCATACATAGCTACCTTGAATAAACTCCTTTGAGGCTAGTTATTGTGGAAAAGGTAAATCCATTTCATGCATCTTGCCACTTATAGATTTTTGCTGTTTTCTTATATATATATATATATATATATATATATATATTGGTGGATGAAATTTTTAATTCAAATGTTGAAACTCACTAAATTTTTTATCCACCAATCAATTTATAATACATCATCGATGCTTAGGATAAGATAAGCAGCAGTGATTATTAGATCATTTCTACTTTCACCTTATATAGTGTCTTAACTCTTATGATGTGGAGCGATAAATTTGGATTAAGTTTAGGCTTATTCCTTCTCTAATTATCAGGAGACAAGATCGAAGAACCTAAATGCATCGTCACAAATCGACATCAAATTTGCTTAAGATTCTCATATTTCTGAATTATACATCAAGAAATCAATTCCCTGTTATTTTCTAGAAAAATGAGCATCAATTGATGTTCTATATTGTTAACAAGTGAACCATGACGAGCTGTGTTGGAGACTAATTACAAGATAGAATTTTATTTTGGAATGGAATTATACTCCGATAACAAGGCATGTCACCGCCATGGATGGTCTTACAACCTTGTGGAGACTAGTTTTTGATAAACAATGGCTAGAGCCTAGTCACTCCAAACCCGTTCGAGGAAGCATCCCATCTTCCGAAATTTTGGGACCATTATGCCGAGTTTTATATAGAAAAGTTGCCTTGTGCGCCGTCAGGCATTTTCTATCTACCGACTGCTATCAATTTTGAGAACAAGTAGCTTTTGGTTTAAAGGTCATTTGAGCTTTTTTTGGTAGTCATCCTATGTCATACACGAGACAATTTATCTTTATGGTTCTCACCGAAGGTTCAACAAGTTATTAGTTATATAGGGTCTTTTAGAGTAGAGAACTCTCCTTTTTTGTGTCGCAGAGAATATAGGATTATTCTTGCCAGCTGATTAGGAGCTAATCTTGTCCATTCCCTTGAGCATCCAAACCCTACTAGATAAGTTAATTTGGCAATATTAACATCAAGTGTATTCGAAGTGGTTAAAATGTCTCTTGAATGAAAAAAATTAGGAATAAAGCTATTTGTACAGATGAATTGTACAGGGCATTTTACAAGTGCTGAGATGGTAGCACCTTATTAGTTGTTTTAACTTTTTTTTTTTATCCAAATTCCAATGAAATATTGCTATATGACTTTCTATAAATCCATTTGACAAAGCTGTCTGTACATATAGCATTGTTGAAAAATTAGTAGCTAAAGAATCTGAAAACAAGTGGGTTGGTGGCATTCTATTAAACAAATCGACATCAAATTTGTTTAAGATTCACATATTTCTGAATTATACATCAAGAAATCAGTTCCCTGTTATTTTCTAGAAAAATGAGCATCTAATGTTCTATATTGTTAACAAGTGAACCATCACAAGTTGTGTTGGAGACTAACTATGAGATAGAATTTTATTTTGGAATGGAATTATACTCCCATTAACAAGGCATGTCCCCACCATGCATGGTCTCACGACCTTGTGGAGACTTGTATTTGATAAACAATGGCTAGAGCCTAGTCA